GTCATAGGATGTACATAATCTTACTTGGTGGTAAAATAAAAGGCACTAGAGCGCATGTGCGCACACGTGTGCACACGAGCGTAGTAGAGCAGATCCTTTACATAAAGAGATTAAATGACCGGCCGCGAGTGAGCAGTCATTTTAATTGAAGATTTGCTGATGAAGACATTTCTAAAGCTTAAAGAGACTTTTCTATTTTTACCAACACACCCTCGCAGACATTTTGGCTGCAAAAAACATTGACTTGAAACTTGAAAAAGCTGCATTACTGATATTATTACCAAAGATATTAAAAATATGTAAAGTTTTACTTTGATGAGTTGCATTTTTGCATGCTCAAAATAATTTGAAGTGCATTTTTACATTTGGCTGCAAAGGGAAATGCAAAGTGCTGGCAGCACTCAGTATTATGCAATCTCAGTATCAAAAGGTGCCACTGGGTGCTTCCACGGGTTCACTGAGTCCAAATTTGTGAATGAAGCTCCTGCCATTTATGGTTCTGCATTAGTAGTTAGTAGAAGAGGGGCGTAACTTGATACYAGGGCTTCCTCCTGTCGATTTCAGCTGCTGTGTTTCCTCGTCAATGAATTGTGAAAGAGCAGAAGCTTCTGTTTGCTGACAGTCTGATTCAGATGGGTTTAGTTTAAAAGTCAGAATGTGTAAATGCACAACTTTAGATGCCTGTGGGAGASAGTAACCAAACAGCGCTTCATGCAAACTGTCCGTGCTTTTTAATGGTTCCGCTTTCTAAATGACTCACTCGGTTTTCAAATCTCAGGTTGAAGAAAACTCTGGAAACTTTAAAAAGACATTCTTTTAGCCGTGCTCGTCTTAGCCCGCACCCTCTACAGAGGCAAGGTTATAAATGCACCACAGTCACTTTGATCACAACCGTTACTCCTGAGTAATTTTCAAACTGGGAGTGATCGCAGCCTCAGTGAATGAGTCATGGTTTCAGGCCGGCTCTGCTCTTACTGTTTTACATTTGAAGCATTAGTTTATACGAACGARTGAGTCAGAAGGCAACTTTCCCTCTTACAGTACAATAAAGTTACACAAAGCTTTGAAAAAAGTCCCTTTGGCCTGAATGAACACTCTGAAAGTCAATTTATAATTGCTCAGAAATAAAATAAACTAAAATGATGGTTAGAATGCTTTGGGGTGAAACATTTTAACCTTTTTTTTCCCCACGGCGTGTTTAGCCTAACAACAAAGGTTTGCATCACCTAAATTTCTGATATATCAAAATGTTGTACAACAAAAAAAGAAAATTATTTCTTGATATTATTAAAAAAACTAAAATTTTAAACTTTATAAGGATTAGCATTTCTGCACAATAAAACTAGTTAAGTGTTTTTAAACCTTAAAACAACACATTTATAGATTTTATATATGGCCCACCATGTTCTATATCATCATTTCACAGTAGCTCAGAGGGAGATTTGCTTCGGGAAAACTTTTCAAGTTTTTAGTTGCCAATAGAGAACGCACCCCCAAGCAGCACCTCATAGAATATCAATGCAAAGTTAAAAAGTAGCACAATAATTGAAGAATGTAGTTCACCTTCTGAAATATTTAGTGCATGCTGGTAGGAATTGTTGATTGAGGCTCTGCTGTGCTGATCTTTATGTTGATTTCTTCCAGAAACATGTAAATGCAGCACACTTGCTGCACCACGTCCTGCATCCTCGGCTCTTTACAGGAAACTCTGTTTTGTATTTTGCACTGAGACTCCTCTCCAGTTGACTGCAAGTTCTACAGGTGAACAGTCATTAAAGACAAAAGTGCAGACTGAATTAGCCACAAGAATGATATACATTTTATTTTTTACAAAAGCAGGTGAGAGGTCACACCTGATTCGRGCCCTGCAGGCAGAGACCGCAGCACGTGACGTGAACGAGAAAGCAAGCTTCTCACCTCCTGGTGTCAAACACAAACAATGCTGCTGGAGCTACTCAGCCGGTGTGGCAGATTTAACAAGCGAGCAGATAGCTGAATGGGAGAGAGCAGACCGCTGGCGCTGGTGAACAAACACAGCAGTCCCATCAAAAGACGGTGAGCGTGAACGCTAATGATGAAGTCAGACATTTCTCTGAGGTGAAACACTGCAGGTCAGGGTGATCGTAAAGAAAGTTATTATGATGGAGATGAATTCCTCTGAACTGATTCAAGCAGAAAAACACTTTATCTTGGTTGCAAAACTTGTACGGTTTTAAAAAAGGGCAAAAGAAATCAGGCTTAAACGCACTCTCAGCACATTTATTATCCTTATTATCTTTACTATTACTGTTTATACAGCCATTGTCCTTCACCTTTTTTGAAGGCCTGCTTGACCCAAGAGAAAAAAATAAGGTGGAAAAAGAGGCATGCAAAGAGGATTTACATTAACAGTTAAACAGGTTTACTGGGCTGTAAAACATTGCTGCACATTGTAAATATAAGATACCAAAAGTTACTCATCATTCAAACCATTTTGTTGCACAACTTTAACGGTATTATTTTGTGTTGTAAATAGCCTTTTCCAGGTTTACAGAGTAGTTAAATGGTTGTAAAAAACGTTTAGAAGAAACCTGAGGAATGTGTGTTTTCTGTCTTTATGATACATTAACAGCACCTATATCCATGTCTGCAGACGTACAATCAGACTTGTGTATCATGTGTGTCTTGTATTGATGCGGTGCAGTGGTGGGAAGCTCAGTCATCCTTTACCAGTCGTTCTTTGTGTTCTCGCTGCRGGCTGGACATCCCCCGTTCATTCATTACCTGAAGTCCTGCAGCATTTCTTGCGTGGAATGTGAAGCCTGACAGCACATTCCTGTACAGCAGAAAWAGGGAGTGGGAGTTTATTTTAATGAGCTTTGTGTTTGATTAACCTCCTTTTTTGCTCTTCCAGAGCCCAACATGAAAGGGAGCAAAAGGCAGAGTCAAAAAGCTTGACCTGGCACAGTGTGGGGCTGCAGGAGTCTCCTTAGAACGACCCGAGGTGCTCAGGATGAGTGTTTCCAAAGAGAGCTAAAACATAAAAAAAGGCTGGCTGAAGAAGAAAAAAGCTGATAAAATAAGTGGCACAAAGCGATATCCGGACTAGTGAGCGTGACTTACCGCTCAGCTGACCACATCTAAAGATATCTGGCTTACAGTCAAAAAAGTGATGTTTAGATTATTTACACCTGCTAAAGAGTGAGCTGAAAGTGCTTTTACGTTTATTTTTTTTGTTTAAAGTGTGTATTCAGACTTAAATTTATATCAAATAAAACAAGCTTTTACTCTGTGATGGACTCCAGGGTGTGCCCCGCCCCTCGCACAGTGACCGATGGATGTAGGCATCAGTGACCCCCGTGACCCAGACAGGAAGAAGTGGGTGAAGATAATGGATGGATGGATAAATTTATGCTTTCATTRTTGGAGTTAATTCAAGACTTTCTACTTTTAGCCTGACAAAAGACAGCTTAACTTAGCAGWTGACCGTTAGCCCCAGGCAACGCTAACTCTTGTTGGAAGTGCACCATACATCCTGAGTGAGATGTCAGAGTAATTAAAATCAAAAGCATGAATTCTGAGTACATGTCTAATAAGTATGATGATTGTGGTAAGAGGTGGATTTCACTGATAATGATGTCCATGGTGTAAATCAACAAAGCGTTCAATTAAAGAACATGAAACTGCAGCTATAAGTTGCAATGAGAGCTCAAGCCTTCTGCACGGTCCATTCAAACCTGCAAAATCCACTCTCGTTGTTGCAGTTGTGCGACAAAAACCATGTCAGTTTGTTCTCATGTTGTCCACCTCTTCTTAACACAAGTCCCTGGGCGAACTTTTCACCCCCTCCGCTRACAAAATATGGTCAGAAGTTCAGGGGCGTGTTTGTTTATGCTGAAAAGCACTCAGATAAACCAAGGTGTATAGTGTCTAAGTACAATTACTTTGTTACAGTAGTTAAGCAATTTTTTTTGAAGATTTGTAATTTTACCAAGTATTTTTTAATCATAACTTTTGTTACATTCAAAAGAAAAAATGATGCATTCGGATGGAGCATACTGGATGTTACCTGTCGATAACTACCAGCCAATCCAATGTAAAGCCATGGTTTGATGACGTTTTCTATTCTAAARATTTGTGGAGGTTTACCTCTTCCTGTGAACTAACTTATGGATGGACAGATGACACATTCTTGGGGTTTGATGCTTTTATGTTCCCCGAATTTCAAACTAACGCTAAAGTTTATTTACCAGAAAATTTCCATGCTCATTTTTGACATGAAACATGAAAAACAATTTTAAGCATGATGGTTCAGCTTTATGGACTTTCAACTGGAAAAAAAATTGGTCATTGCTTATTATTTTATTATTATTTACCGTTTCCCCTTCACTTCAAATACTTTATGCTTAGAAAGGTTTGAGTAAACAACAACCAACGATTTCTGAAGATTCAAGAGACGAGAAAGCCACAACTTGGTGATTTGTGGTGCACAAAGCCAGACACTTCCTTTGCTATCTTGTTTAAAATCAAACCAATCAGACAGCATGTTTTTTTTGCAACAAGAATATTAATCACACATTTGTGCTTTTCAGTAACAAGTAATCTTTGTTAGATTAGATATATTTTTTCTTACTTTCACTGTAGTCTCTTTTTTTAACGATTATTTTCCACAGCTCTGGCCATTTTTGCTCATCTCATTCTTTTTACTAATATCTCTTCCTTTCTGTAGTGTTTTTAACMAAGTCCTAGTCAGGTAAGTGATTGCAATTAATGTAGTTGATCCAAATCAGCTGAAAATTTTACAAAACTGCGCTGAATTAATAAAATATTCCTAAGWTATAGTAGATTTCCCTGACAGTAATTGGCTCTCACAGAAAGTGTAAGGAGGTCATGTGAGAAAGCTTTCATCTCCTGCAGCTGTAAGCAGAGGTAACTGATGCAGAACACCCACTAACTTCATAGTAATAAACAGGCTTTGCTCACTTACTGGACACTTGAAAAGAAAAACACAAGCTCAGGTATGCATTGAAATACTGAGGGATTTATTACCACACCTTCTGAAACTATTCAACCGTAACAAGAGACAAAACAGACCGACAAAATGGGCAAAATATGCAAAGCATAATGTATGCGGGTTTAGAAACGATAAAGCAAATCAAATGATTTCATTTATGGAACATCACATCCTTGAAATGTAAAGTAAACACAAGTTCAAAGTTGTCAAGAAAATMACTCTGTAGGTTTCAAAAGAATATCTGTATGAGTTGCAAAAGTCAAATGAAAAGCCCCACTGGCCCTTTAAGAGCAGCGTGACAGTTGTAACACTAGGTACTTCCCAAGTACAACAAACCACAGGGGCCCATTCAGGGTGTATCTGTGTCCTCTCAGAGAAAGGGAGAAGTAGGCACTATTAAAACCCATGCAAGTGTCTGTGAGAGTTTGTGCACTCTTGAAAAGATGCCGTGAAACTGAATCCACTTGCTTCCATCGTTGCATCCTTCCTTTTCTCAGCCTGGGATATTTGGTTGTCTTCTTTGCGCACTGGCTGTGGTGGTACTCAGGTTGCACAGGGGGGTTTGTGAGGCAGCAGCAGCAGCCTGCAAAACACACGACAAGAAGATGTCAGTGTCCTGATATGACTGCAAACAAACTTTCATTTCATATAGCGCGTTGACAAGAAAAACCTAACGTGAAATTCGTGTTTCTTTCATGATGAGTCGAACATTATTAGTAAGGCACTTTCAGCTTTCAGCGTTCAGATAAGGGTGGGGAAATATAAAATGTGCAACATTCATCACTCAAAAATTCAATATCTAATAGTTTACAAGAGTGCAAAAGAAGAATTATCTAATAACCACTGTACTCGTTTTATGAAAACCACAGTAACTTATAATACTGTATATATATAT